GGATCCTCAAGGCTACGTAGTTGAGGGCTGTGCCAAACACTGTTGATTTATCTTCCACATGTCTGTCAGCAGCATACACAGAAACACCACATCCATTAGTCAGCTGTTGCCATTAGCCAGACACAAACCATTGCACAAGGCAGTTTTTATTAGGGAGGGTGAAGCGGGATGCCAGGGGTGACTTGGGAAAAGAGGGGCTTGACTAATGTAGGAATAAACATTGCTCTGCACTACCCTGTCACACATGATGCTTTGGGATATAGTCCCCCAGGGGAGATGTGGCCAGACTTGATGCTACGGCCCCCTCTGTGACAGGGTACATGGAGTGCTGCACAAGCAAGTCCAACCACCCACAGCAATCACACGTGCTGAATCCCCCTCCCTGGGCCCGGGCAGATCTGACAGCAGCTCTGAACCCAGCACCTCGGAGCTGCCATCACCCAAAGAAGCATCTTTGGTACTCACAAGCCCCAGCCTCCGTCCGGGAGCTGCACAGAGCGCAGGTAGCGCACCATCTCCTTCCGGAACCCCTCGGGCAGCTGGATTTTGGCCGTGTGGCAGGTGATGAGCAGACCTGGAGGAGCAGACAGGCCGGCACTGTAGCGAGCCGACCCCCAGGGCATTCACCCCCGGGCAGGTGTCCAGGCCTACCTGGCAGCAGGAACAGCGGCCCGCCGTAATCGCCCGCCCAGTGCCCATCCTCGGCCTGCAGCGCTGCGTAGAACCGCATCCCGTTGCGGGCCGCCTCCCGGGCCGAGCCGGCCGCCGGCAGCGGCTGCAGCGTGGCGCCCTGAGGGGAGACAGGGGCACCTCAGCGTGCGCCCCGGGCACGGCCCCGCCGCCCCGGCCCGGGCCCCCCGCACCGTGTCCAGCCCGAGGCTGTGCTGCTCCAGCGCTGTCTGCGCTCGCCGCTCCCCGACATCGCCTTCGCCATCGCCCAGGTAGCGCCAGAGCTGCCGCCCACCCTCGCAGCGCAGCCGCCAGGCCGGCAGCTCCGTGGCCGCCGCCGAGCGCCAAGGGCCGCCGCGCCGCCGAACCGCCCTGCCGGACACGGGCACCGTGAACCGCGGCCGCCACCCCGCTCCGCTCCCGACCCCACCGCCGGGATCCATCCACTGCCCCCCGCCAGCGCCGGGACTCACACGCCGTCCGCCGCCATCGCCGCTCCCGATCCCCGCGCCGGCTGGTCCCACATCGCCTCACGGGCGGCAGCCAATGGCGGCCCCCGGCCCGCCCCATCTCCTCCCATCTCCTCCCATCTCCTCCCGGCCCCGGCCCGCCCCATCTCCTCCCATCTCCTCCCATCCCCGGCCCGCCCCGGCCCGCCCTATCTCCTCCCGGCTCCTCCTGCCGTGGGACGGGGCTCGGCAAGTGGCGGGGGCTGGACTCCTGCGCCGCACATGCCTGCCCCCGGCACAGGAGCGCCATCCCCCTCACAGACCCCGGCAGCGCCAGCCTCTGGAACGACTGTCCCCACCTCCGTGCGCCCCAAGTCCAGGCGTGTGGTTTCCATCGTTAATGGCAATAGCAAAACAGCGCCGGCCCAGCGCGGTGCCCAGCTCATATGGGCCAGGAGGGAGCGGGGGGATGTGCCTGGTGCAGGGCCAGCCATGGGCACAGCGCACCCTGGCCCTCAGCCTGTGCCCTCCCTCGCTGCCGTGCCCCCGTGCTTCCCCTGTCACCTTCGTGCAGACAATGCCGTGGGACAGCAGTCCATGAGGAGATGGCAGAGCTCCTCCTGTCCAGTCCCAGTGACTTGTCCCCATCTCTCTCCTAACACCCACCTGCACCAGAAATTTTTAGTAATTGCCAAATTCCTGTTACTTAGGCATTGTTTTCATCCATGTTTTTCTGTGTCTGAAGCTCAGCTGGAAGCTCACCTCTGGCTGCTGTGTTTGTAGGTGCCAGGGAGCCTGCTCCCTGCAAAGCTGCTGTGTGTGCCGGCACTGCGAGTGCAGCCCTGCAGAGGCAGTTTCTTCATCCTCCCACCCAAATTCCTCTGCTTTCATTACTTTTTTTGTCCCAGTTCAACGACCGCTGGCGTTTGTCTCATGGTCTGGCAGAGCCTGGCGCCACGCACACCCGAGAGACAAAGAAATAGGCTGTCTTTTCTCCTGGAATGAGGAGCCCACATTGTCAGGGAGACAGGCAGAGGGCTCAAGTGTTTTGCTCAGCCTTGGGCACTGAAAAACCCCCTTGCTTATTTAAACATATCAGCCCAAAGCTCTGGCAAGGAAGCTCTGACCCTGAGGAAAGGAGCCCCAAGGCTGCACGCTCCTGCTCGAAGATCAGAACATGAATTTTAAAATAACAGAAGCAGCTCTTTGGACAGCACTGAAAGCACAGCTCACAGCTCCACACCCATATCCAGACTCCTGGACTGTCACAGGCTGGGTTAGGGATGATCCAGGCCAGGGGAGCAGTCTTTGCAAAGGGTATGAGCCTGGACAAGGATCAGGAAAGTCTCTAGGAGCTGCTCATTGGCAGAGGCAGAAGAGGGCCAAGGTTTCTGGTGTTCACATCTGATCCTGCTGCTCCTTCCCATCCTATCAGGACATCATTCCAGATCATCACCTGTAAAATACAGAAGTCAGAATGATTTGAGGTGAAATGGACAGCAAGAATCACCAGGAAAGAGAATTTTAAGACTCCCCAAGTTTTGACCTGTCAAATGCTACTTTTTCTGTTCCATTTTAAGGAAAGGTCACTTTCCAGAATGACATCAGAATATGGTTTAAGGAGATGAGCTAGGACCTTGCCTCTGACTAGAAAAGGTTTGCTTTAATGCATTTCTTGGCTGAGGATTGAACTAGAAGTCTACCAGATCAAATTGCTATCAGCAGAAAAATGCTGTCTCCTTTCTGCTGACAGAGAGCCCCATTTATAGCCAGCTCTTACAGGAATGCAAGTACTCTTGGAAAAAATCAAATCGTGCAAAATTGCTGACAAACTACCTCCACACTAGAAACAAAAAAACTACCTAAAAGCATCCCTGCTGTCTCTGCTAGTCCCACCAGAGCACAGATAACTGCTGTAGTTTGCAATGCCCTAAATGCAAGAATTTCAGTGGTCAGGGAAATATTTAGAGTCAACATACTCAACCCTAATGCTGGGGAAATTATTTTTCCCCAAACCAGTGTTTGAGCCTGTTACAAAAACTTTCATGAGCTGATGTAAGGAAATTATCAATGTAGATTTTTTTTTTAATGCCACTATGTGAAAAAGTTTTTTAAGTAACATGGTTCATGTTGTGTTAGTAGATTTGGGAACACAGGAACTGCCAGGGAATGTGTCTGTCCAGCAACAGGGTTTAGATAAAAGTGCATTTAATGCCAGTTCACTGTGGCCACTGGGGCTGGCAGGGGACACATGAACAAGTTTTGTATCAAAATCCCATTTAAAATTAAATAAAGAATTGAGTTTGAGATAACTTTTCAAAGTTTCAAGAAAAAAAAATCTAGTGTGACTCAGCATACAAACAACAACTCATCTTTTTTTCTGAGTTTTGCATGTTGATTTACACTTTCCTTCTCAGAATTGGTTCAAAATATTTGCAGTTTCACTTGTCTCTGGTGTTAGGTGGATATTTCTCAAACATTTCAACATTTCTTGAACAATACACACAGAAAAGTACAGAAATTATTTTTCCCCAAACCACTGTTTGAGCCTGTTACAAAAACTTTCATGAGCTGATGTAAGGAAATTATCAATGTAGATTTTTTTTTTAATGCCACTATGTGAAAAAGTTTTTTAAGTAACATGGTTGATGTTGTGTTAGTAGATTTGGGAACACAGGAACTGCCAGGGAATGTGTCTGTCCAGCAACAGGGTTTAGCTAAAAGTGCATTTAATGCCAGTTCACTGTGGCCACTGGGGCTGGCAGGGGACATGTGAACAAGTTTTGTATCAAAACCCCATTTAAAATTAAATAAAGAATTAAGTTTGAGATAACTTTTCAAAGTTTCTAAAAAAAATAATTCTAGTGTGACTCAGCATACAAACAACAACTCATCTTTTTTCTGAGTTTTGCATGTTGATTTACACTTTCCTTCTCAGAATTGGTTCAAAATATTTGCAGTTTCACTTGTCTCTGGTGTTAGGTGGATATTTCTCAAACATTTCAACATTTCTTGAACAATACACACAGAAAAGTACACTTGTCTTATGCTCACACTGACTGCAAAACATATTTTCATTGATGCTTTCTCTCCCATGGTATAAATGGTTTTGCACAAGCAGCAATGGTTGCAGTTTGTCAAGGCATTTTGTTGGTGTTATGTTTGGTGAAGCTGAGTGAATTGAAATAACCTTATTTTCCCTGTCTGGCCTGACCCTACAATCTTTAAACAGTAGAAAGCAGGAAAAGTGTGTTCAATATTAATAGTGTGCAGTAAATGTAGTGAGAAGATCAGACGTACAAGGAATTGCTATTTTTGCATACTCACTGTTCAGAGCAGAACAGCAGCTTTAAAGAAAGCATTCACATCTTTGAATTACAAGCTTGATTCACAATTCTGAGCATTGAAAGACCCATCTGATGAACAGAGAGGAGGCATTCTATCTTTGAAAAATATGAACAGATGAATGGCACCATAATAGATTTTAAAAAAACCAAAAAAACCCCTGAAATACATTTTGAAATGGGATATATCCGTAGGTACGTGTCACTTATAAAACCTGGCTGATGGTAGCGATGTCCCCTCGGAGCAAACAAGCGAGCAGGCGGTGTTCTCCGCCCCGAGGGCTCCGCGGGGCGGGCACAGCGCCCGGCCGGGCTCCCCGCCCCGCGGGCATAAGAAGCCAGCGGGTCCCCGCGGTGCCGGAAAAAAAACCAAAAAAAACAAACCTGAAATACATTTTGAAATGGGATATATCCGTAGGTACGTGCCACTTATAAAACCTGGCTGATGGTAGCGATGTCCCCTCGGAGCAAACAAGCGAGCAGGCGGTGTTCTCCGCCCCGAGGGCTCCGCGGGGCGGGCACAGCGCCCGGCCGGGCTCCCCGCCCCGCGGGCATAAGAAGCCAGCGGGTCCCCGCGGTGCCGGACACGCCGCATCGCTGGGACACAGCCCCGCCGCAGCCCGGAGGTGAGAGCGATGGGGATGCCGGGCTGTCCCTGCCCGGGGGAGCGAGGGGGGTGTTGTCAGGGCAGAATCACCACAGCGCCTGTGCTCTGCAGCACTCCTCAGCCTTCTTCATCCGCTTCCTCAGAAGGCAGAGCTGAGCATGAAAAGGGTATTTTTGTTAGGAAATCTCCTACCCTGTCTGCTACCCAGTCTTCGTGTTCTCACTGACTGCTGAGCTGGGGGGGAATCAGCTGTGGGATCAGATTCAGTGCCTTGTGGTGGAGAAACGGGAGCCAGGTCGCAGGGCAGGAGATATTTACCGATGGGATATGAATGAAACGAGTGCCAGGCAATAAGGTTTCTTTATTTTCCCAGCTTTTGGGTTGGCAGCTCTCCCTCTCAACCAAAGAGATCAGAGTCTCTTTGGTTTGTCAGTTTGTGAAGTCTGCAGGGAATGCTGCGATCTGAATTATTATCATATCCCAAGAGGGTCTCCAGACCAAGTATGGGAGAGGGAGGTTTGAGAGGTGCTCACTTTGACCTCTGGCACTCATCAAAACTGGTTCCTAGCGGGTTCCCCTGACTGCTGGGCTGGAGGCAGGTCTGCAGGCAGAGGCACAGCCCAGGGACCTGTGACAGCAGGGACAGCAAAACCTTTCTGAAGCTCTGGAGCTGACCCCATGCCTGCCCCTCTCCTCGTCTTGTGGCTCTGCTGTCTTTCAGAGCCCCTGGCAGCAGAGTTTTGGTTTCTTGTGACCTTCCCCCCGAAGCCAGGGCTGCTGCCAGTGCTTCCCAGCAGAATGCCTTGAACGGTCTGACCTTGCTGATCCATGGGTGGAGCCCCGGGGTGGCCATGCTTCCAAATCAATAGGAATTGCTGGATCTTGCCCAGGCTGGCGCTCCCAGCGTCCCCTCTGACGTCAGGGCCGCGCCACGACCATGTCTGAGCTGGAGAAGGCGATGATCGCCATCATCGATGCCTTCCACCAGTACTCCGGGAAGGAGGGAGACAAGCACAAGCTGAAGAAATCAGAACTGAAGGAGCTCATCAACAACGAGCTGAGCCACTTCCTCGGGGTGAGTACTGCCCTCCCCGCAGCCTGGCGGGGCTCAGGGGCCAGCCAACAGCCCCTGCACTCCCCAAACTCTGTCTCCCATGGGAAGCCAGCACAGGTGAAGAGGTTTATTTGCACAGCAGGGCATTGAATCCTTTGCTCCAGCTCTACAGAGTAGCAGGATGAGGGAAACAGCCCATATGGGATGTGGGGTGGATACTAGGGAAATGACCTTCCCTGACACGGGGGGACAGCCTTGCCCCAAGGGGCTCAAGATGTCCCTTCCCAGCAGCACAGCTGTGGCTGCAATTCCCCGGGGCACAGGACACTGCCCCACCAGACTGGGAACAGCCACAAGATATGTGGGATGTGTCTGAACAGATTCAGCCATGAGAGCACCTGGGAAATGGGGAAATGTTACTGGGCCTTGCTGTGGTCCTCCCCAGCTTTGGCTGCCTGTTTCTATCCCTTCAGGAAATTAAAGACCAGGAGACTGTGGACAAAGTCATGGAGGCACTGGACTGCGATGGGGATGCAGAGTGCGACTTCCAGGAGTTTGTGGCCTTCATTGCAATGGTCACTGCTGCTTGCCACGAGTTCTTTGAGCATGAGTGAAGTGGTGGGAAGCAGGTGAGCCCTTCTGCTCATGCTGGAGAGAGGCAAGGCAGCATTGCTCCTCCAGGAAAAGGACTGGCCATGATTACAGACCCCTTAGAGTTCAGCTTGCGCTAGACTTAAGCAGCTTATTAAAAGTGCTGTGGCTTTGTGAACAAGGAACACTTGTGTGGCTCAGGAAGGGCTCTTGGCTAGTGCCCATTGGGCTGGGTGCAGTGAGAGAGTGCCTTGCCTCAAGCTCCTTCCCTGCTGTTTTAAGTCAGGAATGTGCATGGGGCTGGAAGCAGAGGAATGCTGTGATCCAAGCTCACATGCAAAGGCAAAAAGGAAATTCAGGAGTTGAAGGAAAAGGTGATGCAGAGGGGCTGGTTTTGGAAACTTGCTGCTGAGCCCACTGGCCTGAAGGGGAAGGCTCCCAGTGATTCCTGTGGGCTCCAGGCATGGCATTAGAAACCAGCTCCTGTCCCATCACAGCTGCTCAGCAGAGCCCACCCATTTCTGGTACATTGAGATGCCCTTGGCTTGCAAGGCAAAGTGTAACAATCTAAAAGCATAACCATCTGACAGCTGAGGCTTTTCACTTGTTGAGCATTCCTGCTTTTAGCAGCCTGCAGAACTGGAAGCAACAGCATATGAGGCTCCTGCACTGGGTCAGCTCCTGGGCCTGGGATATGCCTTGACAAGGTGTCCAGGCTCAGTGAGAAGGGAAGTGGGAGTGGCCCAGTGTGACCACAGACCAGGCACAGCCTCTTGAGTGTGTGGAAATGACAAGGAATAAAATGTTGGTTTGGCCTCTGGTGAAAAACGTGTCCTTTTGTGCCAGGCTACTCTGCACTGAGAGAGAAAGGCTGGGGGATCAACCCTGAAGCACTGCTACAGCTCATGGCCTGGGGTTCTTGTTGGGCATCGACCCCTCTTCTCTCCCCTGGTGTCATTGTGACTGGCCAGACAACCACGATTGTCACCAGCACCGAGTTCCAGCTGGCTGCCCACACTGCCAGGTGTACCTGCCAGGACAAAGGAACACAAGGGCTCTCTGCAGGATGTCACTGCTGCTGTTGGGGTCATCCGGGGGCTTGCAGTGGTGAGCCCTTGCAAAGCCTCAGCTAAACTCAGGACAACCCCCCCAAGGCCTATGCTTTGCTTTTTCAGTGTGCACCTGCCATCCAGCTCAGCAACACCTGGGAGTTTATCCCAGAATAAATCTGAAACATTCTGCTTCAACAGCATTCCCTCAGTGTACTGAGGGCCAGTGACAGCAGCATGTTAGTTCAGGAGACAGAGCTTGGCATTGCCTGGTCAGTACATTTTATACTCCCACTAATCAGGTAAAAATCCACCAACCAACCAACCTAAAAATGGTCCTTATACCTTCAGTGCAAGCTGGGATTTCAATGTCACACTCATTCAATGTAAGATGAATTACAGATTTTTGAATCCTGTCCTCCTTAGTTTTGAGAAATATGAGTTCAGTTGCTTTGGCATTGAAATCCAGCGTGCTTTAAACACGTCCCACTCAGCACTTTCTGGATGTGAGGCACAATGCCTGGCTGGAATTAAAAGTGAGAAAAACAGCAAAGGCTCCAAGATGCCATTGTCTTGTTATGTGCAGTGCTTTTAAACACAAAACACATTTTGCAGGATCAGTTCTTGTTTGTTTCCTAAATCTGCTGTCAGTACAAATGGTTCCTCTGAGTGCCTCGCCTCTCTTGCCTTTTCAAACAAAACACTTGCCTTCTTTTAACAGACTACAACTTAATTTACTTCCACAAACAAGGGTCTAAGTAAAAGCAGGTGGTCTGGTCAGGAACCCTTGAAACTCTGGGTTAAAAAACCTCCCAGGGTTCCTTTCCAAGATGGAATGCCCTGTAACCACAGAGTGTTCTGCACACTGTGAGCTGATTGTGGGCCCAGCAGTCTGACCCATCTGCTGCACCTCAAAGTGTTTGCACTGAACTTTGTGTCAGAGAAAGGAAACCACTTGGAAACACACTTGGGAGTACTGCTGGTGCAGCACATCATTTTTTCTGGATAAAAGTTAAACAAACACTCTACCTCCCATAAGCCACATTGCAAGAGGGACAGGAAGAGTTCTTTTGGGAATTTTTTTACAGCCTTTCCAAACTGCTGCAGCTGTTAGAAGTGACATAACTGTAAAAAAAAATAATGGTTTTATTAAATTTTGTTTTAATTAATCATAACCAGTATATTAATTATAAGCAGTATGTTAGTCTTATATAATTTTAAACCAGCATTTAGCAAAGTTGTCTAAAGTTACTTTTATGGGAACACAGCTTGGGAAAATTTCTGACACATTAAGTTTTGATAAACTAAATCTGATATGCTTCAATGAACAAGGCCTGGGAGAGAAAGATGCATTGTTGAAGCTGGACATCTGGAATGCAGAATTTAGGGACTACAAGGACATTTTGCAGAAACCAGAAGAGACTAACAAAGACTGTGTCTGTGTGTTGAAAAGTCCCTACTGGAGAAAACAGATACTAAAACCCCTAAAAATATGGCCTAATTAGCATGAACAGTGAGGAATCAATAATCAACAGAGGACAGTATACTAATGAATGAAATATAATTATGCAATTTAGAACCAATGAACATTAATTTGTTTGCTAAAAATGTAGAAATAGGTGGAAAAGTTTTGTATCAGTGCCTGTGTAGAGGCTGGAATTTTGTCAGCCATTTACAAACCCTGGCCAGGAATAAAGAACTGCCTCACTCTCCAGCACTACAAAGACACTATTAGAGGGCACGAGGACACATTTTTGTCCTTGCACATTTTTCCCTGTGAGACATCTATCCGGATCTTCCGTCCTTGTGAGGCTGCAATGTGCATGGTGGTACTTTGAGCTGAAAAGGGCTGCGCAGAGAGCACTGTGCTCTACCAGCTTCCTGAAGGTTTTAAAAGAAAGGGGGCTTCCCCTTGAATGTGGTGCAAATGCAAGTTTAGACAACATTTCACAAGTTTCACCAGTTTCAGGGGCAAACTCCGGGCAAGCTTTGTGTCCTGGCACAGTTCTCTGTGCTGGGCACAGCGTCCCGGCCGTGAAAGGAGCGTGGCTGCCCCTGGCCTGCCAGCCCAATTCACAGTCCTAAGCTGGCAGCCTTGAGGGTGAAGTTAAACAAGAACTACTTGTGCTGCTACCTATTCCTCTTCCAGCCCCCCCGTGGAAACAACTGCACCTACCTTAAGGCTCTGAGATCCAGAGAACACAATGGTAGAGGCAGCAGAGAAGGGAAGGACAGAATGCACCTGTGAGTTTGATGTGGCTTATATGGGACACGTGGGAGGTGCAGCCTGTGAGTATCAGGCTGCACAGGGAAGAAGGTAGGTTGGCAAATGCCTTCTGTCCTGGCACATCTGTCAGTCAGGACTGCAGCTGCAAACACTTCGCACTAACAATGGACTCTGCCACTTTGAGAGAACATGCTAATACTATATATATAGTTTAGAAGGAAAATGTGAATCACTAGTGTGTTTTGTCTAGCTTACAGACTGCAAAGGGACTATGAAGGCCAGCAGTGGCTTTTTGTTGTAGGACTTTTTCTTTGCGAGCAGCTGCTGGACATTTTGAAGGGGTTTGGGATCTGCGAGAGTTGATCTGCAAGATGGCACACAGATCTTGAGGGAAAGTGCATATCTCCAGGGAGCTGGATGCAGTTCAGAGGGTGTGAGTTACATGTTGAGCAGCTGATGGCACAGAAAAGGTTCTAAAAGGAAGAGGCCGTGCTGCAATTGCCTTTTATTTTGCAGCCTCTAAACTGCACAGCCAACACAACCACACGATAGCGCTGTCGACTCACAAAACAGGAACATGCACTGAGCTCAGCTCAAAACCACCCCCAGGACACAGCCAAGTCAGAAACGTCCCTGCTCTCAAATCAGCTCTGTCAGGACAAAAAGGTTTGGCTGATCTTCCCCTTCCAAGAACAAACTCTTCCTTGCAGCACATTCAAATGGCAACAAGAACTCCTCTGCCCTAACAAACCTTTTCACTCTTGCTGAGTCTGGTAACAAACTTGAAAACATCTGCCAAAACCAGGGCTCACAAAAGTGTCAGTGGAGAAAGCTTTTTACTGCCTACAATTTCAACTGCACCCATCAAACTACAAACACTCACCCTGTATCACCATTTTCCTTCTCAGCTCTAGGTACCATCCTAAACCTTCAGTCTCAGAGTCAGGATCCAAATGGAATGGCACCAGGGACTGCTCCCACACTAAAGCTACAAGGGACAAAAACTCAACAGCTTGGCCTCTGCATTCCCACTGACAGTTCAACAGCTCTAACCCAGAGAGCTGCATATTGGGAAAAGCCTTAAAATTCACTGAGACCACCCAAAGTGCCCCTCCAAATTTGCTTTCTTTGCCAAAGAGAGCAACTAGAACTCCATCTAGCAACTAGAACTCATCTGACAAGAAATGGCATCCCCTCCTCCAAAATCCAAACCATCCAGGGACTGATCCCCTACAAAGGTGTCAGAACACTGGTATTGGGCATTACCTGTCCAGGACACTTGATCAGCTGCACACAAAGACATAGTGCAGCTGCTTACCTTGTCCAAAAGAAGTGTGCTGGCAGAATTTCAAGAAGATTACCTCTGAGAAGTGGAAAACACATGCCAAATTGAGTCTTTCAGGAAGGAGACTGCCTTTCAAAGATGGGTACCAACTCCATGATTGAGTCAGTCCTTCCAAACCAAATGTGCCAGGAGATAAAGCTGCTGTTGCCCTTAAGCTGCACAACACAGCTTCTGATCTGCACCTCCAACACTGGGGCTTCTTACTTTCCTTCCCATAAGAAAGCATTGCCATTCTCATTCAGGAACTTACCAAGCACAAGTTGCATACCACATCCAGCACTGACTATGTCCAACAATGGCTCCTACAGAAATGTCTTGCTGGACTACACCATGCCCTTAGCTTCTCAGCACTATGCAGTCCCATGTTCTGCCCCCCTATCACCTGAATCTAACTGGACACGTTTTTAGCACAGCAGCACAATCTGGGCGAAGAGAAGGAGACATGAAGCACATGTTTTTGTCCTGGAACATTTCTGTGTGAGGCTTCTGTTGGGATCCTTAATCCTTATGAAGCTGTAATGTGCACAGTGGTCCTTTAGGCTGATCCCTGTGGCTTCAGTGCCTACTGACACCTTCAGTGTTGGTTATTTCAAGCTGCTGGACATGCTGGTGCTGCTGTTTCTGCTCGTGCTTTTCCTTTTCACTAGTGCTTCCTCCCTGGCAGTCATCAGCCCGGATCTGGCATCAGGCCTTTCTGTCCAGCTGGTGCCTTCTGCAATGTCTCCCAAGGGTATGAAGTTCAGTGGCTGTCCAGCTGCAAACCAAGCAGGAACATGGCCAGTCTGTGCCTGGAGCTGGAGCCCAGAGGCCTGGAAAGGCTCAGCCATACATGGAGCAGCAGTGACATCCTCACAGCCCTACCATGCATGGAGGATGGAGCAGCAGTGACATCCTCACAGCCCTGCCCTGCCAGCCCCATGGCAGGGATGTCATACCTGACACAGTGATGACAGCATTGCAGCTTGGCAGAGGCTCAAAACACAGGAAATTCAGGACCATCCAAGCTTTAAAACTGCTTGCTTTACCTGCAAAGCAACTGTGGTGAGGTTTTGCAAAAAAAGCTCTTAATGCATTAAACTGTCTGTAATATGAGTGAGAACTGTGCTAAGCCAAGGTTTTGAACTAACAGCTTAAGTTTCAACATTCATCAAGTCACATTGTCAAGAGCTGTTCTGAAATGTTTAATAAGCTTTTTGTTTTAAGATTT